TGTGTGTGTGTGTGTGTGTGTGTGTGTGTGTGTGTGTGTGTGTGTGTTTGAGACAGGGTTTCATAAACCTCAAGCTGCCCTCAAATTCACAGCCAAAGATGGTCTTGAAATCCTTCTGCCTCTGCCTCCCTAGTGCTGTGATTGTAGGTATGAACTCCTCGTTTTTATGGTTCTGGGGATCCAACGCAGAGCTTTTCAAATGCTAGGCAAGCATTCTACCAACTAAACAAAAAGACCCAGGCCCCTATTTTAATTGTAGAAGTTTGCATTACATTTATTTTTAAATTTTCTTTTTAAAAAAAAAAAAAAACAAAATATCATGAAGGAAAAACATGGATTATTCTAAACCAGACAACCAACTAACATAATCCTAGCACTCAGGAGGCAGAGGCAGGTGGATTTCTGAGTTCGAGGCCAGCCTGGTCTACAGAGTGAGTTCCAGGATAGCCAGGACTACACAGAGAAACCCTGTCTCGAAAAACCAAAAAGCCTGGCTGGTGGTGTGCATCTGCAATCCCAGTGCTTCTCTATCAAGATAGGTAAAGATGGGTGTGCTGGACAGGTGGACCTCTGTGAGTCTGACGCCAACCTGGTCTACACAGTAAGGTAAAACTCAAAGCAAAACCAGAACTCACCTAAAAGGTTTAGGTGTAGCTAACAGAGTCAGAATTTTAACACAGAATATACTTCTCAACTGATACAACATCAAGAAAAAGAAACCCAGATCTGGGCATAGTCATACATACCTTTAATCCCAGCACCCAGGAGGCAGAGTGAGTTCGAGGACAGTCTGGTCTACAAAGCAAGTCTCAGGGCAGCCAAGGAATAGAGAAACCCTGTCTTTTAAAAAAAAAAAAAAAAAAAAAAAAAAAGAAGCCAAGAAAAATGCTTTTCTTTTTTAGACAGGACTTAACTATATAGCCTAGGCTGGCCAACTTCTGACCTGGCTTGCTTCTACTTCCTAAGTGCTGGGATTACAGGTTTATACCACCCTACTTTGTCATGTGACTTTTAAATGGCTATTTTGAAACTGTCTTTACTGATTACTTTTGTTTCAAACAAGATTTTGCTTAATTTTAGTTTTATTTTTGTATTAACAAAAATTAAGCTCAGTGTTGCTATAATATATATCTTACTTATCCTACTTTTGAGGCAGTCACTTAATTGCAAAAATTGCAAAAGCAGAAAATAAATTCTATGAAAAAGAAGTGGTTTCTTCTTTCATAAGTATTTGAAGATTAAATTCTGGCTGAACTAGAACTGGACTTTTTTTTATTACTTGTAAGAACGGCACTCTTAGCAGGGTATGGTGGCACATGCCTATAATCCCAGTACTCAGACAGCTGAGGCAGCAAATCATTTGTTTGAGGCCAGCCTGCCTTATGTTGTGAGAACTTGTCTCAAAAACTAAAAAGGAGGTTTGTTGGGGCAGGTCAGTAAGTAGAGGTGTTTGCTGCCAAGCTTAACAACATGAGTTTAGTTTCCAGAATCCACATGGAGGAAGGATGAAAAGAACAATTCCTGCAATTGTTTTCTGACTTCACAAATGTGAAAATGTATGTGTGTGTGTGTGCACGTGTGTGTGTATTATTTACAAAGGGTACTCCAGATTGATTGATGGATGGATTGGGGGTACACATGCATATAGAGGTCAGAGGACGAACGGTCTCCGAGATTGCTGAAGTAGGACTCTGTTTCTGCTGCTACTGCTGGCTGACAATTGCAGTGCAATTCTCTGCCCACCCCGATCTGTGCTGGGACTGCAGATACACTCAACTTTCACTTGCTTTCAGGGACGGAAATTGGGACGCAGGGCTTGGGTGGCAAGCACTTTAACCTTCTCAACTGTCTTGTAGGCCCTTAAAGGCTCTTAAAAGAGAAATTTATTAATATCAAAAAGCTCATTCTCAAAGCCCTTTTTTTGGTCACATTCAAAGTTCTCATAATAATTTTTATATGTATACTACTATTTCTGTCAGTCAATTAATCAACCATGTCAAATCTTTTCTGAAACAAAGTGAGATATCTAATTTTTAAATTAATATTTTCATATAATTATCTGTCAAGTTAGTGAACCAATACAGCATGCATACTTTGTTAACATATACTTTGTTAACAAAAATCTAATATGCAAAACAACCAATATTTCTCAAGATTTTTTTAAAGAGTGGCTTCTGGGCTTTAGTCCATTTGTGGTGATGGAGAATAACCCCAGGGCCTCATGAGTCCTAGCACCCAACCACTGGGCTACAGCTCTCAGCACAGTAGCTAGGAATGTTAATTGAGGTAATATAAGTACAGCTTCTATTAGAATGCTAGGTTCTAGAGCAGGTGGAAGAAAGTGACAAATTGAAAGCAATTAGAAAAATCCAGGCATAGTGGCATGCCTGCAAACCCAGGACTCTGGACACTGAGTTACACTATCTGGGATAACAAAGTGTGATCCTGTCTCAAAGTCAAAAATAAAACCAAAAGTGACTAATGAGATTTTACCTTTAAAAAAAGTATTTATTTATTTATTTAATTTATTTATTTTGGTTTTTCAAGACAGGGTTTCTCTGTGTAGCCCTGGCTGTCCTGGAACTCACTCTGTAGACCAGGCTGGCCTCAAACTCAGAAATCCGTCTGCCTCTGCCTCCCAAGTGCTGGGATTAAAGGCGTGCACCACCACTGCCCAGCTATTTATTTATTTTTATTGTTTTTACATTGTTTCATGACTGGCACATTTAAAACTGATATCCCACTTTTTCTAAATAGGATTTATAATGACTAGACAATTCCTTGACTTTGTAGTGGTCTAAATCAAGGAAAATTAAAATGCAGAGAAGCAATATTTTAATAGATGAACACTCTACAGGAACCAGAAGGTATGAGGACATCTAATGGAGGAACAGAGAGATTCAGTCAACCTTTAAAAGAACTCAACTGTAGCTACTGACTGCTAAGATCAACAATTCAAAGCTTGTTGAATTTCAGGGGTGCTTTTATTTTGCTAATATCAACTTAGTAAATAAAAACGTAGCTTTTGGTGCCTTAGTCTAAGAGTTATAACAAATGCAGATCTTTTTATTAAGTCCATCTTTTGTCTGCTAGCACCCATCACAAACAAATTCACTTTACATTACACACAACACAGCTTTAAGACCACTTCCATCACTCACAAAAATCCATGCACATGCACAGAAAAGCCATTTGAAACATCACCTGGGGCAGCAGGTTAGCAGCTCAGCCTGCACCTCAAGACTGCATCTTAAAGATCCCTTTGATCAGCTACTGAGCCCGGCTTTTGATGTTAGATCTTCATTTTTAGTAAGCAAGAAAGGAAGAGATTAAGTGAGAGAATAAGAAGCAGACAGTGCATGTCAGTCAAACAGAACAGGAGCAGATTTTGAGCTTTAGACACATGATGCATTCAAATGCCTGCCTGTTTTCAAAGAAACAGTCACCAACTGAGAATCTAGATAAAAAGAAAAACAAGAAAACAATTTAAATGATGGCATACTTCATTTTTCCTGAGCATGTCCAAGGGATAATACTCTTCACTAAAATATTAAAGTGTATGCTGAGCAGGAAGTACTGGCTGGCAGCACTGAAGTCCCCTCAGTCCTATTAGGTAGAGTGCTTACTTGTCCTGTGCCAGGCCCTGAGTGTGATCACAAGAGTATACTAATGTAAAAGTTTCAGTGCAGTTACAACTTAAAGCACAAGCAATCCCACCATTTTATGAAGAAAAGTGAACAAAAAGTAACTCTTGTCTTCCAGAGTATTATAGATTTCTAAATGGTTAGATAAACACAATTGTAGGGGGTAGGGGTGGAAAGGAAAGGAGAGAGAATGGGGGGGGGAGAATACATGAATTCAAGCAGTTAACTACTGTTCTAGTAATATTGCTAGATTTTGACACCCACAGAATACGGAGAACTAGGATTCTGTATGTGTGTGAAGAGCTCATGCTACCATTGGCTAGGTGCTGACGCTGACTGAAACAGGTAAGGTTAGGAAGATCTGGACAGTGGAGGAAAAGGAGACACTAGGGACAAGCGACTTAATAGGAGCCCAGGTCTCAGTGGTATAAAGACACTGGAAGAAGAAGAAAAGCTCCCCAAGAATCTTTCAGGTGGGTTCTGCTCTTTCTTCATGCAACAGCTGTTCTGTCATAGCAGTCCTGGATTCCATCTGTTAAGGAATGCTTTCTCTTCACCCACTGAGAAAGAGTTCTGCCAGTGCTGGAGGTGAAAGCCTACAGTAGGGCCATGGTTTATCTTCTCTCCTCATGTTCAAGAAAAGCTTGCCCACACATGGCAGGACACACAGAGAAAAACTTCAATATGCCCATTGTTCTACCCTCCTTGTTCTCTCATCTTTGATCCTTTTAGAATTCACTGCTATTCTGTTCATTAACCTACAACTTAGTAACAATCTTCTAGACTGAAGAGTTTTTGTTCAAGGAAATTCACCTACTTTCTCTTCCTCATTCTTCCAAGATGGTGCATGAAACATACAAGACAAGAACAGAAGTTTGTAAAACATATCTAAGAGTTTGAATCATATGATGTAGGCACTTAGAATGTGTTTGTTTAAATCAATCGGCTAAACCTGGTTGACACATTGTAGCTTTTGTTGCTATTGTTTTGGAGAGAGGGTTTCATTTGGCCCAGGCTGACCTTAACTTACTATGTAGTTGAGGAAGAGGAGGACCCTAAGAACTAGGATTATAGGCTTGAACTACTCCCAATTTTATGCTGCACTGGGTCTCGAACCCAGGGCTTTATTCATGCTAGGCAAACACTGTACCAAATGAGCTACATCCCCAGCTCCAGTCATAACTTTAACTATAAACTTTTAGAAAGTAAATCAAAGTATAAACAGGTCAATGGGCTTGTATTAAAGCTGAGAACAATAAATCTTTAACTCCTCATGTCAAAACAAACCCAGAAGTTGACCAACAAGCAACATAATCCTTTTATTTAGTGAAAATAGCACAGAAGGGACTGGAGAGATGGCCCAGGGATTAAGAGCACTGGCTGCTCCTCCAGAAGATCTAGGCAACTCCCTATCTTCTCTAACTCCAATCCCAGGGGATCTGATGCCCATTTCTGGCCTCTGTGGATACCAGACATGTATATAGTGCACAGACATCATAAATTTAATTTTTTAATTAAAATTATAATATAATATTATAACATAAAAACACTTATCTGAGAGCTGGGGAAATGGCTCAGCAGTTAAAAGATGTTTGCTGTACAAAATAAGGATCTGAGTGCAAATCCCTAGAACTCACATTAGAAACAAGGCAAAACAAATAACAAAAGTATACTCACCTGAAAATATGTACGTATAAAAGACTTAACTCACTGGGATTTATGCACCTGAGACAACTAACTAGATGAACTGTTGATGAAGCTCTGTAACTTAATCTTGAGACACTCATCTTGAGTAAAGTTCAAAGAGCTCCTAACAGAAGATTAAAGATCAACTGCCTCTGTCCAAACTTTACCTTATCTGAATATCTATTATTAGTAAAAAATCTGTAAAGTTTACTTCATCCAAGAGTAAGAAGAGAAAAGAAATTTCCACAATGGAATAAAATGAGTGCCTGGGCATGGTGATACACTTTAATACACATCTTTAATCCCAGCACTCGGGAGGCAGAAGCAGGCAGATCGCTGAGTTCAAGGCCAGTCTAGTCTACATACAGAGTTCCAGGCCAACTAGGACTATATAGTGAGATCCTGTCTCAAGGAAATGGGTAAAGTCCTTTGTCTGGAGCACAGTCTCACACAGTATACTATAAAATTTTCTCTGTTAGAGATGCTCTGCCTTATGATGTTCTAAAGGTCAGCTTGTCATAACTTAGAATCACTAAGAACATCAACTGAGGACCTATGCAGATTTGTTTTGCCTAGGATCATATCTGTAGGCAGCACCATTCCTTAGGCAGGGAAGCTTAAACAGTGTAAGATGGGAGAAGACAAGGTGTGTAATGGTTTGTATATGCTCAGCCCAGAGAGTGGCACTATTAGAAGGTGTGGCCCTGTTGGAATTTGTGTGTCACCGTGGGTGTGGGCTTTAAGACCCTTATTCTAGCTACCTGAAAGCCAGTATTCTGCTAGCAGCATTCAGATGAAGATGTAGAGCTCTCAACTCTGCCTGCATCATGCCTTCTTGGATACTGCCATGCTCCCACCTTGATGATAATGGACTGAACCTTTGAACCTGTAGGCCAGCCCCAATTAAATGTTGTCTTTTATAAGACTTGCCTTAGTCATGGTGTTTTGTCCACAGCAGTAAAACCCTAAGATAGTACGCAGGTCTCATTCTTCTCTGTTCTTGAATGAGATGTGACTAGCTGCTTCAAGTTCCTGCCTTGACCTCCCTTCAGTGATATACTATAACCTGGAATTGTAATCCAAATAAACTTTCTTTCCCTAAGTTCTTTTGCTCAGACTGTTTTATCACATAAAGAAAACTAGGGCATACCATCCATCATCAGTCTTCTTGATTCTCCCCCTTTCATACTTCAAATGCAACCAACTTCTTTAAAGTAAATCCTATGCATTCATAATTTCATCTTTAATCTTACTGATAAAGTCTAACCTCAAAGACCTAGATAATGAATTACGTTTAACTAGGCTCCTGGTGTAGTCACAAATGCCAATCTAGTCTATTTCCTCCCTAACTCTGGTATCCAAGTTCCTCTACCAGCTATTTACCTCTCTGGCTAATTCTCACCTCAATCATGTAGTTCAGTTAAATTCCCTTCTGTTCTATATTGAATTTTTGTTGTTTTTTTTCTGGCACTACGGGTTGCCACTTAGCCTCACCCCCAGGCCCTTTCCTTCACATTCATCCAAATCATTTTAGTGGCAAGCTCAACTCATGCCCTGCCTCATCTGTAAGGTATCACTTAACCATATCCATCGGTTCCCTTAGCCTTGGTAGACATCACACCATCTAACACTAGCTCTAACACACTGTCTTTTAAAGAAGTCCATTCTTTACTCCTTGAGTGTCTAGACACAAATGCCATTCTGTTCTACATCATCCAGATGTACATTCCCCAGTCTTTCTGTATCCAGATTGAAACTGATGTTTGGTACAAGAGTTGGTCAATCTAAGCATGATTTTCTATGAACTTTCCTGCTTACATGAAACCTTGATCTTCAGTTTGTTTTTAACAAAGTTGCTAATTTAGGCCCAGTTATCCAGTTACACTTTCAACTTTATTTCCAGGGAGGGGTTAAGCAAGGATATTCTCATGTACTGATTTATTTTTAAAAGGTCTTGATTTATCAACTTACCTATTACAAGGGCAGACGCAGAGGCCACAACATTTGTTGAGTTCTGTTAAAGTCTTCTCTGCCTCTCTCATGTCTTTATTTATTTGGTCCATGCCTTCTTCTATGCGATTTAGTTGTTCTAAGAATAAGTTGTGGTGTTACATTCAAAGATGTCCAATGGAAAATGCTAATGTTACAAAGCAGCAAGCTGCAACCTCCACGCTATCTATCACCTGCCAGTGAGTATTAGTACCAAGAAAACAATGCTGATCCTACGGTTATGAAGCCTCACTGTAGAAAGATTTTTTTTTCTCCAGCAACATTCAAGGGTTGCTTGGAAATCACTACAGCCAGATTCTTAGAATTCCTAACATGTAGGCACTAAACTAAGGAAAGCTTAGATGGGATTAACTCAGGCCAACAAAACTGGATGTTCTAAACTCATCAGAATTTAGATCTGTTTTAGACCCTGCTAACTGGGAAATGATCTGAGAATGTCATGTTTAAAGTTCATGTGACAAATGCACACAAGCAGCTCAGCTTGTCTAACAGACTTGTACCCAGCTGGGTACTGCTGCCTCTCATCCCAGTCTAGCAATGACCGTGATATTATAATATGAATCAGAGAACAGGAGGAAACATATTATTCTTATCTTACAAAGAGAAGTCTGAATTTTTTACGGATTTTTGGCACTGTAAAAGTCAAGACTTTCTTTCAATGACTTCAACTCACCCCCTTGCTCATCCAGCATAGTGATGGTCTTGATTCCTGTATCCTGAGTCTAAAAGAGGGAAAAGAAAGATGAAAGTACAAGAAAGCAACCCAAAATACCTGCAAACCTTACTGACAAATGATAAGAAAGAATCATATCAAAAACCAAGTTCTTAGGAATCAGTGTTATAAATAGAACTAGGTGTCTCACACCAACACACATATTAAACCCTAAAGTAAGTCACAAGCCTATGGTAAATTCATCTTCCCTGTCAATATCCCAATATTTTCAAAGAAGAAACAGAACTGGTTTATTAGTGCATCACTGGGCAGTCTTCAGCAACTGCTGGTTTCAAATCACATCAACTGCAGCTAGTGCTAGCATCCCACCCATATGTTTCTATATTCAAATATTAAATATTTCTTACCTCAATGGCTAAACCCAGGATTCGCCTTGTGCTTTCCAGAGACTAGAAAGAAATATAGAGTTATAGCATACCAAAGAAATACAGAGAAACAAATTAATCACAGGCTATGTTTATGATGCTACTTTATTGTTTTAACTTGCAAGCATACCCCCTCCTTACAAGAAAGCAGTGTTCCACTTTCACTTCCTTCCTACCAGGCATTTCTTAAGAGAGACCCCACATGGTGGAGCCAAGGAGTTCATAAAGGTAGGCAGAGACTCTCACTTTTCTACTGTGAAATGGAAATAGTGGCCTGCAAAATTGCTCAGGAGGAAAAGGTACTGCCCACCAATATAACTACCTGAGTTCAATTCCAGGAACCTGCAAGATGGAAGGACAGAGTTCTGACTCCTGCAGGTTGTCTTTGGACTTTCATATGTATGTGACACTCAATACTCAAACATACCCACACAAAAACTAATTAAAATATATATATATAAAAAAATCATTCACCTCATCAGTAACTTGGTGAGCCCGAAGCTGAATTTCTTCTGGTGACAAATTATCCATGATGAATCAAAACTATTGAACACAGAAACGGAAATATGGATACTCTACAAGAATAAGGATACAAAAAAGTTTGAGCAAAAAGTATAGATTGCTGGGATTACTTACCAGTATTTACCAGGCAAGAAGGATAAAAGGGCTGATCCCGTTACCTGGCCACCTATTCTACAGAGACAGGAACTCAGGCTAGGAGGAAACATGGATATTTAATGCTATAAATATAAGAAGTAAACTTAAAGCTCAGGAGAAATACTCTTTCTAAGACAATCAGCCATATATCCTAAGTGGTCTGGAACTTGTTATGTGCTAAAGATGACCTCAAGCTTCTGATCTTTCAGCCTGTACATCCTGTGCTGGGAATATAGACATGTCTGGTTTATGTGCTACTGGAACCTGAATCCAAGGTTTCATTAATGCTAGGCCAAGCACTCTACCAACTACTCTACATCCCCAGGCCCAGGTGAAGTACTCTTTCCAATGGAAAAGGTCCTTAGCTTTAAAAAGCAAGGCATCAATGAGCCTGTGAGATGGCTCAAAGGGTTAAAGCACTTGCTATACAAGTCTGACAACCTATGGGCACTGAAATGGCTTAACAGGTAAAGGTGCTTGCCAGGAGTTTGACCCTGGAACCCTTGTTAGGTGGAGAAAGAGAACTGAGTCTACAACGCTATCTTCTGATCCCCATGAGCATCCCTCAAACACCAATAATATGTTTTAAGCTTGTCCTCTGCCCTCCACATGCATGCTACACCATATGAGTACCTACACTTCTAGGAACACACATCCTAATGCATATATGCAATAATAAACTTATTTCTTTCTTTTTTACTTTTTTGGAGACAACATCTCACTATGTGGCCCTAGATGGTCTGGAACTCAGTATGTAGACTAGGCTGGCCTCAAACTCACAAGAAATCCTCCTGTCTCTGCATCCCTAGTGCTAGCATTAAAGGCATGCTGATATCACCATACCTCGCTAAATAATTTTTTTAAAAAAGCATGAAGTGAATCCTTGGTTGTGCAATGTTCTTTATTATTGTTGTTGAGATAGGGTCTCATGTTTCTGAGATACACAGCCAAGAATGATTGAATTTCTGATCTTGTTCCCTCCATGGTGTATGCCACTTTGTCTGGTTTATAAAGTGCTCGGGATTAAACCCAGGGCTTTGTGAGTGCTAGGCAAGCATTGTATCAATTGCACCACACCTTTAAGCCCTGTAACAATGTTTTTTAAATCTTATCTGAATATGGCAAAGCAATAAAGAAAAGACATTCAGGTAAATAAACTGTCTTAGCTTGGGTTTTATTGCTGTGTAGAAATACCATGATCATAACAATTCTTATAAAAGAAAACATTTAATTGTGGCTAGCTTATAATTCAGAGGTTTAGTCCATTAACATCAGACAGGAAACATGGTGGTATTCGGGCAGACATGGTGCTGGAAAAGAATTTGGGAGTTCTAAATCTTGATCCACAGGCAGCAGAAAAGAGACTGGCTTGAGCTTTGGAGACCTCAAAGACCCCCTACTGACATACCTCTTCCAACAAAGCTATACATCCTAAAAGTGCCACTGCCTATGGGGGCCGTTTAACTTAAAAGTCATGTGAATAAAGAACATATAGACATTACTTCTAAAAAATACATGAGTTTTTCAAGCTACTCCTTGGAGATTATCAAGAAAAGTACTTCTGTGGCTGGTAAGACAGTTCAGCAGTTGAGAGCACAAACTGCTCTTGAAGAGAACCAGAGTTCAATGTTCAATTTCCAGCATTCATGTTCAGCAGCTTACAACCTCTGGTAACTTCAGCTCCAGGGATACTGCCCACTCCCCCCACCACACACACACACACACACACACACACACACACACACACACACAAAAGATTTTTTTAAAAAGATCTGATACAAAGAGCTCAAAAAAGGATCAATTTTCATTATGGATAGATTCTGCTCTTCTATTTTTATGGTCTGTTGTTTCAGTGAATACTCTCTGAAACAAAGCAATAATTTTCTAATACATAGTAAAAGACCTTGTAAACATTTAAGGAAATAAAACAGGTGTTATGGTGTGTGGAATTCCTCACAGGCTCATGTGTTAAATGTATGGTACCCAGCTAGCAGCACTATTTTGGCGGGATCTGGAAACTTTGAAGAGGTGAAGCATAGTTGGAAGAAGTAGGTCTGTGGGGTGAGGAGTGCCTCTGAAGGTCAGACTCAGTCTCAAGTTCTCTGCTGCACTGCTGTCTAAATCTCCTCTGCATGCACATACTCCTCCAGCCATGATGCCCCACCCAAGGGCATGGAGACAAGCAATCAGGGACTAAACCCTGTAAGGTCATGAGCCAAAATAAATTTTCCCTTAATACAGATGCTATTCAGTGTCACTAATGTGAGAAGTCAAGTGTATGGATAACCATTATGGAATTGACACAGGTCTTCTTTACTGCATTTTCTAGTGTTTTATTACCTTTTGTATGTGTATGCATATGTTTGCAATGTGTACCTGAGCATGTTTATGAGTCTGAGCACATGTATGTCATGCCACAGATAACAACCACACTACTGCCCGTGTGTCAGAAGACAGTTTCAGGTATCAGTCCTCAACTTTCACAAAAGAGATAGGGTCTCCTTTTGTTTGCTGGTGCATACAACAAGCTGCTTGGTCCCGGGATTCTCCTGTCTCCACCTCCCACTTAGCCATGGTGCTAGTGTTATATTTGAGCTACCACATCTGGCTTTACAGTAGTTCTGGGCATTTGAACTCATGTTCTCATGACTGTGTGACTATCACTTGACCCATTAAACCACCTTACGGCCCTATATTACATTTCTGAAAACCAATTATCAAAACTCTTTGTCTACAATACAGATAATACTTGGCTCACATTTAGATTTGTTGTCATGCAACATTTTCATTGTTTTTAAAAAGGGTTTCATGTAGCTCAAGCTGGTTTCAAACCTACTATGTAACTGAGAGATATTCTGAACATCTCATCCTTCTGCCTCTACCTCCCAAGTGCTGAGATTAGATGTGTGGGCCACTATGTTCATCCTTTGGAAACTTATTACAGTAACATGGATATAGAGATGTCAGTGGGCAGAAGAAGCTACTAGAACTAAAATTCCTAGCACTCCTTCTGAAAGCTGATCAACAAAGAATGATCAGGCACAAATGTGGTGAGGTCAGGTATTCTGCTATGAATTATACTGACAAGCAGAGAATCAAATTAACCAGGAATACGTTACTAGATTACACTCTTAAAGGCAACTTGAAGGCAATTCTCATCGATGTCAACACCTAACAGGCTCTGATGGCACATTCTTGGAAAGTACCTAATAAATAAACAAGTACATAGAGAAACAGGATACACTCTCAAAGGAATGCAGCTCTTTCAAACAGAGCTGCATGTGGTATTAGCAAAAAGTAAACAAATCACTAGATGTCATCCCATTATCCACCACTGCAAGTATGTCATATGGAATAAAACAGCCAGTTGTTCATGGGCAAATTTCTTCAGCTGGGGCTGAGGGTGTAGCTCAGAGGTAGAGCATTTACTTCACATGAACAAGGCCCTGGGCTCAATCCCCTGTAATGGAATAATCAGACACTTTTCCATTCTTTTGTGTGTTGGGGATTGAATCCAGGCCTCACACATGCTAGGCAAATTAGGTGCAACTCCTAGCCCTTTAAGTTATGTGTGTGATTGTGTATGTAGTTAAATGTGTTACATGTAATTAAGATTTTTGAGCCTTAAAAGTTCATTTAAATAGCACATTTGAGGTCGATGAGATGGCTCAGTGGGTAAAGCTGTTCATTCAAGTTTAAGGACATGAATTCCATCTCTATACTGTAGGTATAAGGAGAAAATGACTCCCCCAAGTTGCCCTCTGAGCTTCCAAATGTGTGCTATGTCAGATATATATGCATGTATACATGCACACATGTACACAAAATAATTTTTACAAGCATCAGAAGTTCCAAATATAACATATTTTTCATATCCATGGTTCAGACAAAATATTCACACACTGAGATATATAAGCAAGAAATACTGGTATTGGACAGATAGCTTAGTGGTTAAGAGTACTGGCTGCTCTCACAGTAGACCTGGGTTCAGGTCCCAGCATCACATGGTGGCTCACGTTGATCTGCAACTCCAGTTCTAGGGGATGTTAGGCCCTCTTCTGACCTCCAGCACCAAGCACACAGATAGTGGACAGACATACAAGCAGGCAAAACACCTGAACCCATAAAATAAAATAAGTAAGTTTAGAAAAAGAAAATATAAATTCCTTACTTGAATTAGCAGCTATTCACTCATTAGATATTAATATCAAATCATGTGTGTTATTAATTTCCTAACTGTTTAGGAAACTTTAGCTTTATTATACATATGTCCCATGCTATCATATGTTTGGTCGAGTATGGTGATATACACTCAGTTCCAGAACTCAGGAGTTTCAAACAGGAGGACCAAGTTTGAAGACGGCCTAGAAAGCACAGTAAGTCCTGAAACAGTATAGGGGAAGAGAGATGCAAATGCCATCACCTCTAAATGTGTGTCTATCCTTTGCATGTCCTGCTCTTGTCTGCTCAGGTGGTGGCTTCTGTCACTTCCTAGAGCCCCATCAAAGACTACTCTTCCTAGGCAGCACTCTCAAAAGTCACCTATGGTTCCAATGAGTAACTTCTTAGTGCCCAACAGAGGGACAAGTGACAAGAAAAATAACACACATGAACCAATCAGTCCCTGCAAACAGTACTTCAATCAGGTTTTCAACACTATACTACTGATACAGAAACATTGTGGGATAAGAAAATCAGATCTCTCAAACACACAACTTTGTAATTTTATTCCTACCGGTCAACTACAAATCAACATTTACTATCTTGTTAGTGAAAACAAAACAAAAATCTCAAATGGGTTCAAAGAAAGACTTAAATCTATAGCTGACTTGTTTCAAAAATGAGGACTAAACTGCCTTCTAAAAACCAAGAGTCAGGTGACAATGAGGTCACTTGGAAACACACCCTTTCTGTGAAC